GGCTTTGCGCACTGCAGTGCTGAGGCATTTACTTGACTTGGCAATCTAGTTACTGCGCATTTATTCAAATAGCACTTTAGTGTGTTTATGCAAATAGTTCATTGCTACGACTCCTGAAAGAACCATGCAAGTGCTGTCATTTGATTGTGTAATCATTAGATTGGGCTTTAAATAAAATTTCCTGTGGTTCTGTACAAAATTCATGCCCTGGGAAAAAACAGTATTCCCACATTTGGATAGCTCATAAATGACTAAATAATTGCTATTCAGGAATATATGGATGCATGTCTCAAAGAGACTTCCTTTGTGCTTCAGAAAGAGTTGACTTTAATAAAAAAGCAGAATATGAATAATCTCTAGTGGGATCAGAGTATTTGGAGGAAGCCAAGTATTTCAGAGGTTCAGAGGGATGCTCAAAATATTCTGACTTCCAATCCCTTCTCTTACCCCACCCTCCAATAGGGTGCAATAGAGTCTTTAATGTTAATGCTGGCTCAAAATGCCAGGGTCAGCTTAATTATCATTGAGCCCAGTCTCTTATGTGGCCCCTAACTTCAGGAGAAATTATTTCTTCGGACTCATTCCTGGGTTTCCTTGTGTGGTTCCCATTTCTGCTCAGGAAGAGTTTTTGAGAGGTGGTAGTTGGGGGCAAGTATAGTTAAATCACTGTTACTTACTCTTGTTTTATGCAGAATTTCTGTATATTACATTTACTTGAGGCCAGAAAAAAATGTGTTAGTCTGTGTTACATCCCCAGTGACTTACCAGTCATTAGAGGTCTTAGAAAACGCATTTCAAATGCTAATATTATCGTAGTTAGCCCCATCGAAACAGCAGCTATGGGTAGTGCTGCCTTAAGGCACATGTTTGCAGGATCATTCTCCAAGCCCAAGATTGAAAGGAAGCACAGAAAACCAGCTTCCTCCACGTACCAGGTGTGAGACCAGAGACTTTGAGGCAGTTGTGTACACATCTGGTACACATCTGTACCTTCGGGTCGTGCCCAGGGACTCCGGGGTTCCCTGAACAGCCCTGCTTGTGAAGCAAGGGTTGCTGTTAATGGGGAATGAAGTAATTGCATCTCTTCAGGAGATCACTTTCACTTCAGCTGCCGCTGAGTGTGGGAAGGGAACAAGACTGGCTTGGCTTCCTCTATGAGCTGTTGTTTCCCATTCTGCTCCGTGTCCAACACACTTTTTGGGCAAGTCTGTCCTCTTAACTTCAGACTTCTTATGAAGCCTGTAAAAAGTCCTGAGAAGGAGGAGGCTTCTAATTACCCAGCAATAGCAATTCATGGCCCTTAAGGTGATTCCAAATGACCCCTTTGTTGTTAAGCCCCCTGAACTCACGTTACACGTCTTCACGATGGGACAGCCTGGGTTTTGGGCAGATGCGTTGGGTAGGTCCTCCAGAAATGGGATTGTTTTGTGGTCTTTGTTTACATCTCCTTCAAAATCTCCCGTGCCCTTGGGAACGTGTGGAGTTGTGGGCTGAGATCAAAGGACAACATGCGCTCCCTGCATACAATATTGCAGTAAATCCATGTAAGAGCTACTTCTGATGTCAGTCCTGCCGACATCATCAGAGGATGGCCATCCTCGGTGAGGAATATCCCACGTGCTTATTCAGGTTGCAGTGCACCATGATTCAATTCTAGTAACAGCAGAGGCTGGACTGCTTAAAAATGCCTAGTTACCAGTCTTTGAAGATTAATATAATAAACAAATGATACAAATAAAACGTCTAATGCAGCAACTCGCACCATTAAAAAAAACCAAAAAAAGTCTTTTAAGGGGTTAGATCTTAAAAAGACTCAATTCAGCTCATTTACCCATCACATGTTTTCACCGGGTCTCTCACAGCTGTGCATGCGTGCATGCACACTGATGGGTTTTGGGACGCTCGTTGCTTTATTGTTAGCCAAGTGCAGACTGAAGATGACAGGTACAAGTCTCTGTGGCCTGAGGCAGTGGAATTCACTGCCTAACAATATCAGATCATCTGTATTCTCTTTTGGAAACCGGCCAGGGATGATTTTGATCTCTCAAAACCTTCAGTTAATGCATGACCCTCATCTTTTATTGTAGTGGATTTGAACCACTCCTTGGAAAGCTCACCTAAAAAAGATGAAGCTTTTATCTGCCTCTCCTACTGTAGTCTTTCCATTTTGCCTGTGCCAAGCTATTCTGTAAGTTGAAACCAAAGAGATTTGACTTTCTGGAAGCTGACAGAGATGACCACCCATATATCCAGCGTAACACGGTGTGTCTCAGCATAAAACACAACATGCTTTTACTGAGTAATGTGTCACACTCTAACAGTTCTGTATAGAGATACCTGCATTCCAGGTAACGGTGGAATAGTGATGGCTTGTCACTAGGTTCCTCAAGCCCCTACCCTAGCGAAACAGCCTAAGCACAGTGTTTTAGGCACCTAAGCTAAATGCTAGATGTAGATTGTGTGACTGTCCCTTATGTTTAGATCTTTTTCAAGTACAATCCCTATTTAATAAGCTGTGTGTATTTTAATAGCATCTTTCAGGAACCTTTCAAGTTGAGTCACTAAATATATATTTTTAATAACCTCTGTGTCTTAAAAGGACAGTGTGACATCAAGATCATAGAATAGCAGGTTGGAAGGGACCTCAAGGATGAGCTGGTCCAACCCTGCTTGGTAAAAGCCCGGTCTAGCCAAGCTGGCCCAGCTCCCTCTCCAGCCAAATCTTAAAGGTGTCCAATACTGGGGAATCCATCGCTTCCCTGGGGGGATTATTCCAGTGGCTGATTGTTCCCAGTGTGAAAAATGTTCTCTTGTGCCCAGTCAGAATCTCCCCAGGAGTAACTTGCACCCGCTATCCCTCGTCTTCTCCATGGGACTCCTTGTACAAAGGGAGTCTCCATCTTCTCTGTAGCCACCCTTCAAATACTGGAACGTGGTGCTAAGGCCTCCCCTCAGCCTTCTCTCCTCAAGGCTGAACAACCCCAGATCTCTCAGCCTCTCCTCACATGGCAGGCTGCCCAGTCCCTTGACCATTTCTGTGGCCCTCCTCTGGACTCTCTCCAGCCTGTAAGAGAGGTTTTGTACATTCCAGAAATGTAATAATGTGTTCTGGAGGTGCCTGTGTTCTGTACATTCCAGAAATGTAAGTACTGGAAATCAAATAGTGATTCCCCTGACTTCTAAATTAAATTATTTCATTACAAATTTATGTGAAGTTCAGACATATTTTTTCTCTTCTTGTGATTTCATGGCCTTTTTTTATTTTGAGCTGACAAATGATTCTGATGTTGCACTTAGAAATTCCTCCTCGTTTTAAATTTTAATAATCTCCCAACAACAATGTATTTATTTCTTCAAATTTGTAACATCACAGATCTTCAAGGTGGGGAGGGGAAGGGACCTGCTCCATAGCCCAGGCCCTAAAAATCGATCCATTAACTCGTGTATAGGGAGTTTAATAAGAATTTTAAGGACAATATTAGAAGCTGAAATCCCCCTCCATCTGAACAGCCTTGGTCAAACGACCACAACGTGCCCCAAAACATCCTGGCTGTGTTCTCCAGGCCCAGAGTAACTGGCAGGCTAACCCCTAGGAGGAGGAGGAGCCGCTGCTCAGTCTCTGGGGCTGTTCCACACATGGTTGAGATGGCTGGGAAGGAGCGAGTTAGCATTAGTCTTAGAAGTAGTTTCTGTCACCTGAACCACGGTTCCACCAGTAGCAGCTTGACAGAAGAGCTGTCTTGTTTGAAACAGACCACTGAAAAGCCATCAGAGATTCATTATTTAATTAACTACTCGCTGTGTTTGTTGGTTTAACATTGACAATGAGCTCATTGCATGGGGCTAGAGATGAAGTTGCCGTTCCTTGGAAGATCTCGTAGACTGAGGCCTCAATCCTGAAAAACACTTCAAGAGACCTAAACTTTAATTATGAGATTGTTCTCTTGATCATCGGCGGGACTGTGCTTCCTCTATACGTGGGTACATAAGCTCTTGCAAACCAGGAGGTTATGTGGACAGACACAGAGAATGGATGGAGGGCATAGAAAACTTAGTAACTTGGAAATAAGACTTACCATGGCTTTGGGGACAGTTTGATGAAATTTGTAAGAAATCGTGAATATGGGGAGAATAACACCTTTGGCTTTGCTTCAGATGGCTGTTGGACACTTCCCAAGTGGTTAGTGGTAACTCTGCACAACTAAATTAAGCCTTTGGAAGGAATAGTAGATGAAGCAAATGAGAAAGACAAGTAGGAAGTGTTTGTGAACACAGAGATGTTGGATCAGATCGCACTGAAGATGAGATTTAAAATAATTGTTTTAATAAGAATAGGAAGAAAATTGTAAATGGTTTCCCTGTGATTATTTTTTTAATTATTTATTTACTTTTTTACCACGTCGGGCTATTCTCTAGTGTTACGCTTCCCCACTGCAAGTTCTGACGTTCCGGGAAGGAGAAACACTCAGCATATGAGATGGGAAATCAAAGAGACGTGGAGGTGAAGGGCTGCCTTTGCCGTTTCCTCACTGTGTGACTGACGCCGTCAGCGAGTTCCCTTCTCTGGACGTGGTTTGTTCACCCGTGGAAGGAGCTTTGCCTCCCTCCTTGGCCTTTTGTGAGGTAACAGCACGCGTGCGTGTGTGCGGCTGATGCTCTGCAGACACAGTTACTGGAAATGAGAGGTGGAACCAGAAACTTCGGTAGGACCCGTTTTAGAATTTTGTTTCTTATTGTAGTGGTAAATAAGGCCCAAAGTTTTGTTCTTTTCATTCTAAGTGTTTGGTTTGCTTGTTTCCGGACCGGGGTGTGTGTGTGTGGGGGTGTTTCTCCTCAGAAACGAACCGCTGTTCTCTGGGATCTTGAGGAAGTGAGGCTGTGGGAAAGAAGGGGAAAAAACCATAAAGAAATGTCCCCGTTATTTGCTTCCCGTCGCCTCCTCCC